ATGTTGTGTTTTAATGCAACGAAAGAATCATAGTGCAAGTATCAATCAGTAGAGTGTTGGTATTATTGATCTAGGAGTATCAGAATAAGATAGACGTAGAAAAGTATGAACTAATTGTATTTTTTTTTGCAACTCTTGTCTATTTATTATTTCATATGGTCAGTTGATTTAGTCTTTAAAAGTTTCGTTCAAAGATGAAGTTCTATGAGATGAAACATCAATTTTCATCTTCGGTGAAAGAAGATGAATGAATCCATCAAGATCAAATTCATTTGGTAAAGTATCGATTGTATTCATTTGTTCATTAAAAATATCAAGAGTTCTAAAAGCTTCATGAAGTTCATCTAAAAGAAAAAGAAAATCATATTGATCTTGCATTTTTATTATTATTAATTAAGTTAATCAATACTAACCTAGTGTCATTTTCTCACCATCTGTCATCTGTAACGATATATAGCAAGATATATTATAGCAAAAAAAAAAGTTATTAATACGTACGAGAGTTTGTATAAGTGAATGAATATTAATTTTAGAATTTTTTGATGATTTATATACATCAAAAACTGATTTAAGTATATTATAAATCGATGTTTGAAGAGTATTATTAGCAAAATGATTATAATAAATTCGAATTGTTTCATAAAAATCAATTTTGATTTTATATGGATCAAGAATATTTTTCTTAAAACATTGTTCATCATATAATTCTTGTATTTGACGTTCAGATATATAAATACCAAGTGTACGAATAAAATCTGTAATTAATGGTAATGAAATAACTTGTTCAATTGTTAAATTACTTGCATCTTGTAATTGAATATAATAAAATAATGATTGAAATTGTTTTAATTCTAAATTTGATTCTAATGTTTTATTTTCTAAAGATTTTTCCATTGAAATTATATCAAATTTCCATATAAATATACAATTATCTTTTTCACCACAAGAAATTAAAAGATTATGACATGATGTCACATCAAATAAACGTACACCAGTTGGATGAGCTAAAATCATATCATATTCATTTGGATGACCTGTTCCAGGTAATTGCATTACACCAATTTTATTTAATGTTCGATAAGCAAGATAAGATCTATTAAGAATATCTTCACAATTATTTAACCAGACTTTTATCTGAATAGAAAAAAAAAAAAAAATTGTTTTTTTTTTTTGCCATAAAATGACAACAAATAAATATCTTTTTACTTGTTGAAATGAAGAATCTATTGCTTGAACCGTATGTCGACATTTTTTTGAATTAATATCAAAAAATTTTATTCGACCATTATTAATTGAACATATTAAATAATCAGTTTTTGCATCAATAGAATAAAGAACTAAAGATGATATATATGATGGATATTCAACAAGATTTATTTGAGATTGTATTATAAATGGATATTGTCGTTGATAATCAATACAATATTCAATAAGATACCCATCACTATTACAAGAAAATAATCGTTGTTTTTTTGTATATCGATCTTCTGTAAATAATATTGCAGTTATATTACTAAAATGATTCATACAATGACCATGATTATGATAAATATGAGATTTTTGTTCATCTTGAACATAAAGTGTAATATTCTTTTACAAAAGATTAGATATTTATTAATGATGAATGAATAAAACTTACTGTATCAAGACTAACAGCAGCTAGAAAAATTGTATTTGGAGAAAATTGAAGAAAAGTTATCGATGATTGAGAATTATATAATGGACGATTGTTAATTGGATTATATGTAGCAGCTATAAATCAAGGATTAATTTTCAGAATTTATTGAAAAATCTTTTTTTTTTGTATCTTTTTATGGAAGCTAGTCTGATTAAGTTCTCTATATGCACAATGTTTCAGACCAAAATTCGAGAATATGAGTTTTCCGAAAACCTGTGACCCCTAGAAAAAAAATTCGATAGCGCAGTCAAATATCAATAGGTACTCAAATCCTTTGAGGATTTTTATTAGGACATTATGTAGTGTCTATAGACAAAAAAAAAATCATTGAAATCAGAAGGAGATATAGGGTGCGGGTGTGGATGTGAATGAAGAACCAACTTCCACATCCACATCCCCACACTTGAAGATAAACGTCTACTTCACTAATAAACTTCAAGATTTTCATACCATCATATAACCAAATCAAACCATTATCTAAACCGATGGCTAAGTGTGAACATTTTTTATTAAGAGCCAATTTTGATATTCCAATAGTAGTTGAAGTCGATATGAACTTGTCAAGAAATAAAGTACGTTCTTAACAAAAGTGTATTGATGATTTTATGAAGTATTTGTAAATATACATACTTTCACCATGCCAAACATAGAGATGTCCTATTGAAGTACCTATATAAATGATAGGTAATATTGAACTAAGACAAATATCAGTAATTTGACCCATAGGAATTGTTTGTACGATTTTAACTAGAAAGAATTTCATCTTGTTATTAATTGTTTATACAAACAAGACATACTTAGAGAGAAATTTCGTTGTGTAATAACAATTGTCTTTAAATAGTTTATATTATCACATGTACAAAAAGTAATCTAAATTCTACATACATGATTTGATTGACATATTACTTCATCAAGTTCAAATGATTGATTTTTAGTATGAAGTCTATCAGACCATGATTGATTTATTAATTTTTCTTCTTTATTCTGATCAGATTCATTGATACTAATATTAATAATAGGACCAATATTTAATGATGAATATTGTTTAATAAAATGTAAATTATAATCAAAAACAGTAACTTGTGATTGAGCTGTTCCAATAATAATATGATCATTGAACCATTCAATGCATGTTATATCACATTTTAAATCATGTAAACGTTTCATTATTGTTACTTCAGGTATATAGATTTGTTGTTCAATTGAAGATGAAAGATTTGATGAATGAAAAGATAAAGTAGTTGATAAAGAACCCATTGGTATATTATTTCGATCTATCATAGTTGATGATGTCATTATTTGTTGTCGTTGTCCAGTCGATGATGTTATATGCGCATATTCGACTTCGAAAAAAACAGCTTTACCTATATAAGAACATTAGCATTGTTATTGATGTTTATCTTTTATTCATTACCAGTAGATGTAATTATAACTGCTTCACATTTTCCTGGAATCATATAACAAAAAATGATTGGACTAATATGTTGACCAAGTTTTCGTTGTATATCAGAATGAATTTCTAATTTAATATGATCTGAATCTTTACTAGGAACTAAAATTTTAATTATACAATTAATAAAATTACTTTCATATACTTTTAACATTACTATAAAAAATAACAGAATCTATTCCAATAGTACAAAAATACGATCGATCTTCAATCATTGTAAACCATGATTGACGTTCACAAACAGTTGGAATTATTGGTAATACAATTGGTTTAACATCATTATTAGACCAACGCCAAAGTATGATATGTTGATTTGGTGTTTCAGTTAATATACTAATTAATTTTCCATCACGTGATATGTATACACGAATAAGACCTATATCATGTATATTTGTTAAATATTTGACAGGTTTTAATGTATAAGTATTCCAAACAATTAAAAATGTTTCTGGTATTGATTCAGCTGTTACTAACCATTGTTTATCATGTGAAACTGCTGCACTTATAATATCCGAAATATGTCCTTGTAAAAGCGTTTGTGTTTTTCCACTTCCTGTTCCAATAATACCAACATTACTGGCAGCATAAAAATATCGAGTTTTGTCATTAATAGATAGATTGAGTAATGGTACATTATAATTCATACCAATAGTCCAACTGAGAGATAATGATGAATGATTATTATTTTGAAAAAGATCTTCATTCCTACAAGATTTAGCAATCGATTGTGTAGAGATTTTATCTACTGAAAATACTGATGGAGAAATATCATCATTTGTTTGAATGTCTTTTACTTGAAGTAAAGTCATGAGTAAGTTTGATAGAGAGAATAATTAACCATAGAGATAAACAATGAAGTGCATGAGTAAAGGCGCAAAATCATATTTCTTGACTTGAATAATTTTTTCTTATTTTTGATTTGTTATTAGAGTCCTTCATTGGACTCTGAAATCGGACTTATATAAATATAACAATAAAGTATTTTTACTCGTACATAACAACAAAATTATTTTTCATATGCTACAGTAATGCGCAAAAATACACTACTTTATAGATTTATTGGTTCCATGAGCAATAACAACTTCTGTAATGTGAACAACATATGTTATTTCATTCACGTACAAAATAAGAACAAAAATCATGTTATGCATATTGCTCTATACTAAACAATCATCGGCCGCCTACAACAAGGCGATAGACTAACTGTGAATATTGAAAAGAAAAAAAAAACAATATTAGACAACAACAATAGTGGTTGGTGTAATATGTCATCGTTTTTGATTTACCTCTGATTAAAAAAGTTGAATTAATAAATTGTTCGACAGAAGAAAAAGATCATCTGGTGCAGCCGACAAACAATTGCAAAAAAGAAATTGAAAACTTTCCAATAATGAGTACATACGTCAAAAGTGAGCATTTCTGGCCGATCCCGATGACACGCACATTAGAAAGATTTTACTATAACATAATATGAGAGATGGCGTTCATATCCGATAGTATCTATCATAAAAATATTCCTTCGAACTAAAAGAAATTTTAAAAAATAAAAAATTAAAATTATATACACAATTACTTTATTATTTTATTGTTATTTTATGCTTGACAACAACAGAGGTTTCATCGAAACAATATCTATTATGAAATATTGCCTGATGACATAGTAGTAATGTCATCATTTCTTCTTCCTTTCACTTATCGAAAAATCTGTCCTTCTTCCTTTTTTTCTTCCTCGGCTATAATTCTATATAACGTTGTGCTCATGATAATTCAGCTGTCTATTCTTTCGTGATTACTTACTTTTTTCTTATTTAGTTTGTCATTGGTTACTAAACTATACTTTAAATCATCACTATTATTATTTATATATTCATTATGGTAATCAATAAATAAAATAAAATTTCAAGACAAACAATTGTTGTTTTTAGGGATTACTTGATTTCATACGAAGTTTTCGTGCAACATCTCAACAAGAACTACGTATTTTACTATTAGGCCTTGATAATGCCGGAAAAGTAAGAAATTTAAAAATATGTATACATAAAAAGAAAAATGAATTTTTATTTTAGACCACATTACTCAAAGTTCTTGCTTCTGAAGATATTTCACATATAACACCTACACAAGGTTTTAATATTAAGAGTGTGCAGTCAAGTGGTTTTAAGCTTAATGTATGGGATATTGGTAAAGAATTCTGATCGAATACGTTTTCAATTGAATGTTTTTTTGTTTTTATATTAAAGGTGGTCAACGTAGAATACGACCATATTGGCGCAATTACTTCGAAAATACCGATGTTTTAGTAAGTTGGTTATAATTAAAAAGTTGTTTTTTTTTTCTTTTTTATGATTAATTTTTTTTCTTCTATGTAGATATATGTTATTGATAGTTCTGATCGAAAACGTTTCGATGAAACAAATCAAGTACGTTTCCCATATATTATTTACATTTATTATTTCTATAATTTCTATAGGAATTGTGGGAATTATTAGAAGAAGAAAAATTACGTAATGTACCTCTATTAGTTTTTGCTAATAAACAAGATTTATTAAATGCTGCTAAAGCATCTGATATAACTGATGGTTTATCATTACATCAAATACGTGATCGACGTTGGCAAATACAGGGTTGTTCAGCACATACAAAAGAAGGTGTTAAAGTAAGGAAAATATTTTTTTTTTCATTCTTTTAAATAAAGTTCTTTATTTTTTCAATGGTTTTGTTTTTTTTAGGAAGGTCTTGAGTGGATATCAAAAACAATTGGTAGTAATAAAAAGAAATAGAAAGAAAAATACAAACTTGTTTTTTTGTTTTGTGTTAAAGTACATAGTGTGCGTGTGTATATTAAATAATTTTAGTGTTTCTATATTTCGTCATAAAAATAAGGAGAGAAATTTAGCACAATGTATCAACTTATTGTTAATAGGTATTTGAAGAATATTGTTATTCATTGAGTCGAAATATACATGTTTTGTTTTTGAATTTTCTTTTTTCTTTTTCTTGATTATTACCGAGTGTAGGGCATGCTCAATATGTCTTATATATATAAAATCGAATATTGTAGCTTTTTATGTATGTATGTGTATATGCGTATGTGTGTTGAAATTTTTTGGAAAAGGTGAAGAATATATGTATGAGTGATTTTGTCAATGTTGCTTTTTATACAAGAAACACTACAAATAAAAATATAGTTTCCATTTTGTTCTTATCAACAGTGATTGAAAACTAACAGAAACAAATTGTTTAAAGAAAATATTTTTGCAAATAAAAACAAAAAAATCAACAGTCATATTTTTATGAATTTTGTTTGTATTAACCTTAGAAAGCATTTCAAAATTGAGATAGACATATATCAATCTTCCACTGGATTAACACCGGAAAAGTTATTTCAAGCATGAACAAAGTGAAAAGAAACAACATGGTATTCTTCGACATTGTATCAGAAGTAAGATGATAAATCTTTACTCTTGTTTTTGAAAGAAACGAATTCATAATTGATTCTAATCGTTGAAAACCAGACATAAAATACTTTTTAAGTCTTTCCTCAAAAATAGATCTTGGTTCAGGTGCATTCGAATCACATGAATTTTTCAACTCTATAGCATGCGTTTTCAAGAAATATTCAACAAACAAGAGTGAAGCATAGCTCATTTGACAATCCTAAATTCTCTGCGGGTCCTCCTTCTATGGATTTAATTTTTTTTTCATTTAAAAGAGAATGTGAAACTACATTACCTGGCAGAGCCTTTTTTTGAAAGTTCTTATTTTTTATGTGGAGAGAATAGATAACAAGTTTAACACCTCGAAAAACTATAAAAAAAATGTTCATCTATATATAGAAGTACTTTTCTATACAGTAATAAAAAAAAATTAATTCAACAAAACAGACACTACAGCTTTACATGCTCTCTCAAACAAAAAAGAAAGTAATCGACTATAATAGAAATCCCTCGAGAATTCCGAGATGTTCAATCAGAAAAGTATGAACAGAGAAAAAGCGAAAAAAATCTCCCGCTTTTTCTGACGAAGATTGACTTTTTTTTTGCGAGTCAGAAGGTTTAACTATTCTCAAAATGATAGGTTTCAACTGCATAAAAGAAAATGAATTAGATCAGGAATTTGTCTCATTGATTATTTTAAATGAATCTAAGTATATGTACCATATTAAATGCAAACACATTTTTTAAAATAATAACTAGGTGGTTAAAGAAATGAATGAAAAAAGAATTGCAGTTTCATTTTTAGGTATATCTATTACACACTAGAATTGTTCAGTAAAAATTGATGGAAATTTTTTTATATAATATTTATTAGAATGAAACGGGAAATGTTGAAATGGTATGAGTGTAGATGAAGAGAACACTAGAACCCGCACCTGCATCCGCACTCACATTCCACACTCCTTATGTCAAAAATAAAAAATTTCTTGTTAGTTGAAAGTTTTGATATTTTTCCTTTCGGCCATTCCACAATTCACTGTTTTTATCGTTTAAGAAAATATAAATCAGTTTGGTTAAATTTTCCATCAAACTATATATATACGTGTATTACTTTTTGATCACAGTTACTTATAGTTTCTTTTTAACACTTTCTATGCTTTGTCATATATGTTGGAGATTTGAATGATTAGGAGGAAATAAACATTGTTTTATATTCAGAACGCGTTCATAAAACGGCAGTAAATAATGATAAATGATTTATGGGAAGAGTTTTTCGATCGATTTCAATTGCTTGCTCATAAAATGATATGGCTTTTTTTCATAATGACCTTGACTATTTTCAATGCGTTCAAGTTGATAATAAACATCTATTTGATCTTTAGCATCGGAGGTTTGCTGTGGAACAGTCGAACATACTTGTTCTGCTTTATCAAATGGACCTAGTTTTAAAAATAATTCACCGATTCGATATCATCCTTTGGCATGAAGTGATGTCTCTTCTTATATTCATTTGGTTAGAATTTGCAGTTCTTGATCGTTGTCACTAGTGAATGTCAGTGTCACGTGATAAAGTCGATTATTATTCTCAATTTTCTTGATTTCACCAATGCGAAATACAGTATGCATGGAGAAAAGAACTTCTTGTTCTGTATCGATATAACTGATACTATCGATGAGTGCAAAAGGCATTCATCAAGTCGATGGATCAATGATCATTTTGAATAGGATGCCAACTAAATTAGTTTCTATCAAAGCATATTTTACGAAAGGAAGCAAAAGTTCTTTTATTTTACTAGTAGATAAGAAATTATAGAATAACATGAGTCCACCATTCGTTTTTTTTTGAGTTTTCCAAAGTCTTGTATTGATACGTCTTGCCCACGATATACAGTGAAGATTTTTTGCTGATGTTTACCGAATTGTTGTGAATGAAGTGCTTCAATATGATAATGAAAATCACGAATAAAGAAGCCCATCTTCATGAAAATACCAGATTTCAGAGTACTTAATGCTTAATTGAGCATCTGATAAGTGAAGCATTTACGAGTATACCACTAAATAGATGAATCAGGACGATAATCACGTGCAAATTGTTTAATAATTTGTTGTTCGCTTATGTTGTTATTGTACCATTTGCAGTAATAGTTGACTAAGTCTTTGATAGACTGTTCATCGTATTCTAGTTCGAAAAGGATTTCTTTGAAAATCTCCGCATACATGAATGACCCATGAAAAAAAAAACGAACAAGAATGCGTTTTTAAGATGTTTGTAGCGTCCTTTTGAAACACGCTTTCGATATCAGAAACGCGTTTTTTTTTCAGTAAAAAAAAAGTGTTCTGATATACTAGGAACGGTGTTTACGAAGAATGGTTTTTGAATGGTAAAACGCCTTTGAGAAGAACGTTAAAAGCGTCTAAACAGCACGTTTCAAGGAAACGCATTTTTCTCAATAAGAATGCGTTATTATTTAAAAGGAAAAAAGTTGATCTTCAGGTGTATCCTCTCTTCACTCTTGGACAACTCATTTCGCTTCCAGTGAAGTATCATTCGTGCTCAACGAGCTATCGTGTCAGTGAAACGTAGTCTAAGGTTCTAGGAGCGTGTTCTAAGTGTTTTTTGTTGCCTTAGGGTAGATTTGATCAATCAAATTTATACTTACGAAGCAGGCAACATACTACTATACTAAACTTATGCATTTCTCAAATATTAAATTTTCTATTTATATTGAATAAAACTTATGTGCATATTTGACATTTCTACAGATCATTACACTATTAATAGAAGTAAATGTCGAATTCAAGTTCGAATAAAAATGTGATTTGTAAGTTCAACATAGACACTTTACTATAAAATTTTACAAAATGAAATTTCTATAATTACAATTGATCGAAAGTTCTGCAATTACTATCTTATAATAATAAAAAGGAAGTTGAATATTAGAGCAAGCATTCAAAACAAAAATCTCCTCTAAAAGAAAAAGCTTGATGGGGTGGTCCCTTTGGGGCTGAAATGCGGAACTCACCTAAGGGAGAAAGAGATGAAATCATGTTTTTTGATTAAATTGATGAAAATGATATTTTTAATTAAAAGTCTTTGCTTGTTCAAAATCATAGGTTCACTTTTGTATTTTCACCATGTTTCCATGAAAGCATCACTAATCTAGGTCAAAAATTTCATAGGTAGATAGAGGAGATGATTTTGTGTATTTGCATAAAAAGAAATCCGAAAAATGATCTGTTTTTGCAGCAATGCTGAGGCTTTATTAATCAAGCCAAAATGGTTTGAAATCGTCATCTGAGCCCAGTATTTTGGCTAGGAGAATAGTAGTACAGATTAGATTGATATTTCAACATGACGCTCGAAAAGAGGACATGTCTTGCTACAAAATGTAACGTTCGCAAGCTTCATAGATCATTTCGTTACAGAGATAGATATCCGTACTGAATAGAGAGAAATATTTTCAAGCTATTTCTGTGCATCTGTACGGCAAAATAGTGACTTATGCTTGGCAGGGTTATCTATCTCTTATAACGAAATGAATTATGAAGTTTGCGAACGTTTCATTGTGTGGCAAGGCGCATCCTCTTTTCGAGCACCATGTTGAAATATCAATCTTTCGCAAGCCTGATATTTTTTCTATAATTATTACTAGCTGCAGCTCTGGACAGACGACCGGTCTAACTTTGAGATTTTCCGCTCAATCAATTGAGCTTCACATACATACTGACTAATTACATACTAGCCACAACAACCTCTGTATGTCACAATGTAGTCAGTATGCTATCGTACGACTGATCCGAGAAAAACAGCCGGTAAGAATTTGTCTAGAGTCATTATGTCTTATGATGCATATGTTCGAGCACAGTACCTTGATAGTGCATGTCAAACCACTTTAACACTTAGCCATAGCGGTCCAAGACAAAGAATCTCAGACTTGGACTACGCTCGATTCTCTATGACATCCAAGCAGTTCGATATTTTCTTACAGCATCTCGCCGAAAGTTGTCGCATTTTTGGTGACAGGATTCTAATATAGTACGAGATTGTCGAATGAGTAAAGGATCCTATCAAGTGAATCGACTTGGGTATGACTATATGAGTATTAAATACTACTCAATCTCTTTGTTTTCTCAAATTATTCAGAATTTTCCGCAATGAAACTTCTTTAAAATTAATAAAAAGCATTCATCATCAAATTACATATAGAAATAGTAATATAAATAAATGAAAATATAAATAATATCAATAGATTCATATTCACAGAAAAATATATAAAAATATTCAGACCAAAATATATATGAGTAAGAATTCTGCACTCAATCTTATAAAATTATAATCTCCC